TTCAAAATGCCCTAATAGGGTTTTAGCCCCCTGGTCTCATACATTTTTATAAATGCTTCCAGGACTTCAATTCTACTGCATAAACTATAATGTCAAATTAACAAACAACCTTAAATTGGAAACTCTATTAGAATAACATTAGGTTGGAATTTAACTCCTCTACAAAAACAAGAAAGATGACTTTCAAAAAAACAACTTCAGGTTCAATTCTCATGATGTTCAGTTTGCCTAGGTATGTGAGGAATCTGCAGTGCTAGTCTGTGGCATGAAATTCGATTATTTTCAATGGGAACATTTGGAAGTGAGTGGAAAAAGGAACTTGGAACTGGTTTCTTTAAGACTTCTAATCATTTGCTGTTTGCTTAAATTAACTACTCTTACCTAGTTGGTATAGTTATGACTATCAACAGGACTGTGATGGTGGGGGTTAGAAAGCTGCACTAATATTCTGGCATTCAGAACTGTATTAGTGGGTAACTATTAGTCCTTGGTGTAAAACATACACACACACACACGCACACACAGACACACACACACACAAATGAGCCTTAGCTATTCTAAAACCCAGAAGAATGCCCTCTCACCTACTTTATCAAATCATAGAAACTGAGATTCTCCTTCTCACTGGCCTAAACTTGCTTTTCCACAGTTCCCACTATAGGACTTTAACACAGCCACCAGTTGCTGCCAATTCCCAGAGAGGCCCTGCTTTCTTTTTCTGTCCTGTCACTTTGCTAATGGCTTGTAATATGTTTCCCCAATCCCTATCTCAATCCCTCCCTCTTTCCTCTCATTTCCACTCACCTAAATCACAGTTATTTAACCCTTCTACTTCCACATGAGTCTCTGACACCATAAAACTAAACAGGCTTGATTGTATTTTGCCAACTGTCTTAGTTATCTCCCCTGTGACTTCCCTTACTCTATCTACTTTCTAGAATATTTACTTGCGTAGTATTGTTAACCCCTTGTTCACTCCTGGATGGTAGGACCTATGTAGCTCTTACCTCTAATGCCTTACAATATTTTGCACGTCACAGGCAATCCCATAGAAGTATTGAACTGAGCTGCAGAGCACTTTTGGAATTAAATTTCTACCTTTCAAGACATGGTATGTTTTTATATTATGCCATCTATGATTACACTAGAATTCTAGAATTCTCTCAACTTCCAACAGAATTTAATATACAGTTTTTAGGAACATTTTGTTTTTCTTGAGATATATTAGTATAAAGCCTAAAAGATCAAATAATCTCTTAAAATTAATGCCTCCCTAAAAATAAAAATAAATATTTTTATCCTCAACTCCTCCAAAGTACTTCAGGTGTGGTGGCTCACACCTGTAATCTCAGCACTTTGGGAGGAGCAGGTGGGCTGATAACCTGAGTTCAGGAGTTCAAGACCAGCCTGGCCAAAATGGTGAAACCCCATCTCTACTAAAAAAACAAACAAACAAACAAAATACAAAATTAGCCAGGCATGGTGGCATGTGCCTGTAATCCCAGCCACTCAGGAGGCTGAGGTGGGAGAGTTGCTTGAACCCGGGAGGTGGAGGTTGCAGTGAGCCGAGATTGTGCCACTGCACTCCAGTCTGGGTGACAGAGCGAGACTCCGTCTCAACAACAACAACAAAGAAAAAAAAAAGGAAACAAAATAGAACATGTCACAATTCTCTGAAATTCAGCTACCTCTGGAGTGAAAGCAACAGCTTACAAAAATACAAAGAAACTAACAACTTTTAGGAACTCAAGTCTATCTAATCCAACTGAAATGACTGAAACCCTGTGACATTAAAATGGAAAGGATTTGGGAATATTTTCAAAAGATAAGGGGTTTAGATCAAAATTTCAGGGACTGAATGTTCCAACATGATATAGAATCAATTTCAGGAATGAAACTTCATGAAATAAAATTACTTAAGTCCATAAGAACTATTCTATATAGGCAATCAACAAGCTATCTGATCTCATATAATGAATGCTTAGGTTTTGTTTTTTCATTTTAAGGGTTTATTTGCACAATTTATTTCCAAATATAGTTTAGTAGTTTTACATTCTCAAAGAGTTATTTGGTAGCAGTGGAATATAGATTCCAATTTGCTACATCAGTTCTTTGCTTCACATAAGTACTGTATACAGATTGTGAAAGAGATCAATAAAAACACTCCTCCTACCTCATAGTTATAGCAGGAGTGTCCTGTCTGTGTGCTGGAATCTGACAGAACTTTCCCTCCAATTCCCACATTACAAGAAAAATTCCAAACCAAAAATGTTAAGATGATTCAAGTTATTAAGTTAATTTATATTTTATACTATTTTTAAACAACCAAATTTACCAAGAAAACAGAACTAAAGAAAAAAAATTATAATCCTCAGAAGGCAACCTCAGTAAGCAAAAACTAAACATATATATTTGCATATATGAGATAAATGAACAGAACATTAGTGGGGCAGTTACCTACATCTAAAAAAAAAAAACAAAAAACAAAAAACAAAAAAAAAACAGAATAAAAAACTAGCTAGCATGAATGTGAGCTGGAAATTAATGTGTCTATTTAGATACTTTCATTTTAACTTGAACTCACAATAATCTATATATGTGTTTAAGAAAGATGGCTACGTTTAAGATGTAGTAAAGATGAAATATAAAGACACAAACACTTGTTGCCAGTAAGTCTGTGTAATCAAATTATTCATAGTGAAATACATTGAAATGCAAACAAGTCTTCTTTGGTTTGGCAGGTTTTCTTAACTCTTTGTGGAGCTACCTTGTACAACCATTCAAATAACATAAGATTTATTCATTTTGAATACAATGTACTTCTATTTTGCCTAAGAAAGGTACACTTTCTACTACTCAAGCCAATTTTTTTTCTAGTTTTCTTTATGTAAGTGTGAAAAAAGAACAGATGTTTTTCCAAAATTATTTAAGCTTGGAAGGCATTCTATCATTTTCCTCAATAAAATATTTCAGAGTCACCCAAAGCATCATGGCAATATCTTAAGAGCTGAGTCCTTTAAAATACAAGTTATTAGTAAGAAATCAGTGTCAGGACACACAGCATTGTTTGATAGATAAAATTTGTAATATAATGGGACGCTGTAAATCATTTGCCACACCAGCTTTATTTTCCACTCTGGACCTTTTCTGTGTGTTAGTTTTTCAATCTAGTTATTCTACAAGCCATGTACAAAGAGGCTTTTAAACTTATCACATTGTATAGCTCATTCCCTACTGCCTAGAATCTTGTAAATCTCTGATGGAATGTTTAACTGGAGTTATCAGCTGGCTTGAACATGCTTCACTATGAAACCTATTAAAATGGTCTTTTTGTAAAAGCAGAGTTTGCTCTGTGTCACTCAAAAGTCCTGCAGATATGAAAATGAGATCCTATGGAATGTTTAAAGATGCAGAGAGCTGTCTTTGAGTTATTTTTTCATTATGCAAAACTTGGCCCAGGAGAGATGGTCCTGTACCTCGTTAGCTAAAACAGTCAGGCATGTCAGGACTGCAAATTAATTTACCAGAGAAAGCTGAAGTTTATTCAGATCACTCAGGGTTCTAAGGCAGACCTAAGTCTGCTGAACTATTAGGGCAATTTGGTGAGGTCAGAATCTCAGAAATGTTTATCCTTATTGTCTCTTTCCGCCTCCCTCGCAGAATACAACTCATCCCTAAACTTAGCCTGCAAGAACAGCAAATGTTCCATGGGAATCAACATGTATAGGTACAACTCTAAGTTTTCAAAAGTAATAATTGGTACACACTGTGATTCCCTCCAAAAAATATCCAATAAATACAAGTAGAGATAATCGAGTATTTACTTTCTCCTTATATTAACTTGTTGTGTTTATGAAGTGGAGGGTTTCGATGGACCTTGTATTATTATGTAACACGTGCCATCCAGCCAATGTGATGTCGTTAGTAGTAGAGTAAGCAGTAACATCCTTGGTTTTATCAATTATGTTATTATCTATTAATTTAAAATGCCGTTCTTTTGGGTGCTCTCCCACATTCTCTGTTAACCTCATGTTCCTGTAGCTTTACTCTCTATACGAACTCTGACTTGAGTGTTGTATAACAAGTTTCATTAAATTTTTTCCATCCAAGTTATGAAGCCCACTAACATCAGAATTGCACAGTTCTCTCAAAGGCTAGAACAATGCCACAGTGGTTGCATTAGAAGCCAAGAGTAAGGCAAACAATGGGTCCACGTTTTAAGTAAGATAAGTGTGCTTATCTGTATCTAACCCTGGAAACAAGCAACCACGTCTTGGGAGATGGAGATGCTCCATTAGTAACATTATGCACGTTCCTTAAGGAAAACAAGCAATCTTCTGCCTCATATATTATGAAAAAATATTTCTTCAAAATAAACAGACTAGTCTTCCATTTATGGATTGTAAATGTCATCCAATTCAGGAAATCAAAAATTCTTCCTTTTTCTATGTGTATTTGCTTATGTTTCACACTTTGATGATGACAAGAACGTCAGGTTTGAAGGGTATCAGCGTGAAGCGCCAGCAGGTAGAGAAATCCGGGAGAGCCACAAAAGCATAGAAAGTATGGGTGATATCAGACGCATTTCATTTCAAGTCTGATGAGCCTGCATTTAGGATTTTCCAGCTGGGCTGGTTTGCCAGGGCTTTTGGGAGACAGGGGGGCTTTTTATTTCTTCTCTCACACTCACACACAAGGTCGGACACACACCTGGGACACATTCAAACTCTACGTACACTAGGTGGCTTATACGAATGTATATGTATATTTAAAAATAATACCTTGACATCTGACAAAGACACGAAGGCAACGTATGTGCAGTGAGTCTGGCTCTGAGAAACGTGCACAGCCCCGCAAGAAGTGCCCGTTAAAATGAAACATTTCTGAGGATGAGGACAGACATGGCAAGCGGGAGGGGCGGGGGCCGACAGACAATACAGAGACCCGCAGCTCCCCACCGCCAGGGCGCCACATGGACCCGGCGCGTCACCCCTGCTTACTGTGGGCTCTTGGGGTAGAAGGGCAGGGTCACATGGCTGAGATCCTGGATGTCGAAGGCGGTGGGCTCGGCGGAGATCGCCTGCCGCTTGGTGCGCGGCTCGCCCTGCAAGGTGCTCGCGCTCTGCTTCTGCGCCTGCTGGGTGGCTGGTCGGATCACCGAGCGGTACTTGTCCAGCTCGTTCTGCAGCTTCTGGATCAGTTCGTCCTTCTGATCCAACTCCAGCTCCAGCTCGTCGATGAGAGCATCCCGCTGCCTCAGCTCCTCGATCTTCTCCTGGAGCGCATACTGTAAATCCCGCAAGGTGCCCATGCTCCTCCGGGCTGCCGGGGGCTCCTTCCTGCCGCTGCTCCGCGTCTTGGGGCTTCCTCCCCTCTCCGATCAACTTTCCCCAAAGTCGCCGCTGCCTCCCGAGTGCCAAAGCTTCCTACTTGAGACCAAAGCCAGCCCTGGCTTCTGAGCATGCCCAGTCCGCCGGCTTCAGCCACCCAGAGTTTCAGTGCAGATTCCACTTCTCTGGGCTGGCTGTGAGGCTCAGAGTGCGGAGAGCAAACCAGCAGGTCCAACCCGGGATTAAACCTGAGACGCGGTGGGCGCCGCGGCACGGGGTAGAAGAGCGGGGAGGCGCGGTGGCGGCGGAGCGGGAGGAGGGGACGTGAATGGGGGCGCCAAGGCAGCGGCTGGGCTCTCAGGGTCCCTCGCGCCGGGCGCCCAAGGAAGCTTGCGGGGCTTGCGGGGAGCCTGACAAGCCTCCGAGGCGCGCCGGGGGTGTGCGGGCGGAGCGAGGAGGGAGCTCTACTTCGGGGGTGGGGAGGTGGGAGGGAGGGGACAGGGAGGACCCCGGGCAAACTCCGGAGGCCTCAGCTGACTCCAGAGTCGACCAGCCTGGAGAATGTTGGGCTACGATCTTAGCGACGTACGAGGCATAGGGGACTCTGTATCATCAAAGCTCTGAGTTCTGGAGGTATTTTGACGGCCGGCCTCACTAAGGAAAGCTCCCGAGCGGTGTGGCCGAGCTGTCGCTTCTCCCACACCACCTTTTCCACCCGGAGCGCCTCACACAGGTGGCTAATGCTTGCAAAGAAACTTGCCTTTCAGGAGCTGCGAGCGAGTCGGCGCCCGCGAGGAATTTCCCCTTTCAGCCTACTACCTTTGGGAAAGCTTTGTGGGGTAGGGGGTGGGGGTTCTGATTTTATCCCCTCGAGGCGTTGCTACTCTTTACCTGCTCCAGATAGTTACTCTCCTTTCTGCCCCTTCCAAATTCTGATCAGGGAACTCTTTTAGGGCAAAGGCCAAAAACGGATTTGGGCCCTAGCAGGCCATTCAGCTTCCCCATGAGCCCTCCGCCTTGAGCTGGTGCCTGGGAATCGTTCTCTGATGGGCCTTGCTTCTTCCATTGGCTGAATTTGGCGGGGAGAGGGTAGGGGTTAAAAATCATTCCCGAGCTCCAAAAAGTTCATCTTGAAACTGAACCATACCTTTGAAAATATTACTTTCCTCACAATCAAGCTGTTAGGAATGCGTATTTCCACTTGAATGGTCCGGAAGGCATCCTGACACAAACTTTAAAGAAGGGGGAAAATCGTGAAGGCGCCAGGGAGACTACGCAGGCTGCAGTGAATTGTACACTATACTGCAGTCACCCCCACCTCTACCCACTCCCATCCCCATCCCCGCCCACTCAATATTCCCCAAAATGATCACAATTAGGTAACTTCCTTTCTATCCAAGTATTACTCTCCCATCATGGGAACACATGTATAGAATCTTTAAATATTTGCCTAATACGTACCTAAATTCCTAATATTTGCTTAAGACATTAACAACTCATCCAATTTTATAGCATCTTTATTGGCAGACTTTTGATTACTATTCTTGGGCACTCAATATTATAATCCTCAATGCTCTATTTGGTCATTCCTTAACACTAAAACAAAGTGGATAGAAAATAAAATTGAATTGCAATGCAATTCTAAAGTTAACAAAGAATAGTATCAAAATAACTTGCACACGGTTGCTTTTGAATACACAATTTTTTGTATATAAGCTAGAGACAGAGGAAGGGAGGAAAAGAGGGAAGGAGGTCAAGGTATGTTAACAAGCTTGTTCATTTAAAGTGTGGTTGTTTGTAATTACAGGACTAAATGACAAAATATATGCAGTCCTAAATATTCTTTTATGTAGATGATTATCTAATAATTCTCTTAATGCAGATTACACAAGACACTTCATTTTTCTGCTTTCCAACACAGACTTTCAGAAGTGCATTTATTTCTAAATGTGATATATAAAATGGATCATTCTCAAAACATTTTCTTTTGCAATGAAGAAATGAGCAACTTACAAATATTGAAAATAATAATAGCTCTGAATTATTGTTGTTTTAATTAAAAGTAAACCAAGCAGAAGTACTGTGACTTTGTATAACTCACTGTATTCTAAAAAAACTTCCATGAAAATTTCCTTCTTCTGGGCAAAAGGCCAAATTCTTCTTTAACCTGTGGGAATTCTTTGTTTCCATGGGAAAATGTTTGATACAAAATGACTTTTTCCTATAGATCTATTATTGAGGTTCATGAAGCCATGAGTTTATGTCTAAAAATATATCAGATACAATGCATACAGGACATAATTAGACAACTGCTAAGTTGGGTTCAGAATTCCAGGATTTTCTCTTCCTTTTTTTCCATTTTTAGTTTTTCTTTTCTTTTCTTTTTTCTGTGACAGAGTTTTGCTCTTGTCACCCAGGCTGAAGTGCCGTGGCACAATCTCAGCTCACTGCAACCTCCGCCTCCTGGATTCAAGTGATTCTCCTGCCTCAGCCTCCAGAGTAGCTGGGACTACAGGCACCTGCCACCATGCCGGCTAGTTTTTGTATTTTCAGTAGATACGGGGTGTTACCATGTTGGCCAGGATGTTCTTGATCTCTTATCTCATGATCTGCCCGCGTTGGCCTCCCAAAATGCTGGGATTGCAGACATGAGCCACTGTGCCCAGCCATCTCTTTCATTTTTAAAGTGAAAACAAATATTTTAAGTAAGTTTTTCATTGATGCTTTAGAGTTTATTTAGGGTTTAAATGGGGTCGCTTAATGTTTTTGAGCAGCACAAAATAGAGAAGATTCTTCCTCATTTGTAGAAAGTCTGTCTACATGTACAAAGGAAAATAAAAACTAAAACACTTTCCCAAAAATGAAAAATAAGACTTCAACCAAAAATATGTAGGCATTTTGGAAAAAAGTGAGTTTTTTTTTACACTAAAATATGTAAATATTTTTTCACTATTTTAGCTGGCATATCTACATGCAATTATAGGATGTATACACATTACATTTTCATTTTCAATGTACATCTCATGATGTAAAATCTGTTCCAGGATGAATCTGATATTGACAGTCAGGAATCTGTTATAACAAACACAAAGAGAGTAAACAGCTGAAAAGACATGACTTTTACAATTGACTTTAAAAGGTGTTCAAGGAATAGCATCTAGTTATGTCAGGCTGTGTTATTTTTTAAAATTTATTTTCCCTTAAATGCTTTATAATTTCATATGCAAAATCCAGGATTCTCGCCTTTTCTCTTTCATTTTTAAAGTAAAAATAAATATTTTAGGTATGTTTTTCAATGATGTTTTTGGCCAGCTGTTTAGATCTTGAGCGATCAGGTTTCCATCTCAACCTTTTGAGTGTTTCCAATATTTTCTTAAACATCTTCTGCGTTGTACTTAGTAAATGCTGGAAATAAACCTTATGTGAAAAATCAAAGTCCTGCAATTACGTCTTAGCAGACAAATTATCTTTACTATGTGTCATATAGTAAACTTAACTGGCTAAATTACAAGATCAAAGATCAGGCACAAGTCTACTTTCTGCTAATTAGGAAGTGTCTACCTCAAATTCCTTCAGGGGTAGAGTAGAGGAGAATGGCTTGATCTGAGCCCTGCCCCACTGCCTATCTGAGATGAAGCTTTGACATTAGATGCTGACAGTTAGAACAATGGAATTTTGAAGGAACTGAATTCATACTCTAGAATTCCATAATCAACTCACAACCTGCTTTTCAGCAGTCTTCCTTTTTCATAACTTTAATAAAAGCAAAGTTCTACTGGTAGCCAGACCAAACTGAGGCCTGTTAAACTCTAATATGCTCTTCACTCTTGCACCCAACCCTCATAATTGAGAATAAAAACTGACATGTCTTCCTTAAGGGACCCTCAGAATCATTTAATGAGCTATTCCAATAAAGTATCTTTATTATAATACTGGCTATTCAAAAGTAAATCTGTAGAATTTATCATCCTTCACTAAAAACATTATTAGCCCAAAAGAACTGTGCTAATTTTATCCACTTGTCCATTCCACTGATACTGTATTTCCTGGAAGAATCTTAAGTTTTGAAATTTTCTTCTGCCATGTCATGTGTGTATCTTGAATGGGAAAAAATAAACAAACAAAAATATAGCTGAGCCTTTTAGGTGATAGAAGCTACCTCTTGCAGAAGATTGCTCAAAGTAACAAGTCCTCCTAAGAATCTAGATTTTAAAGCTACTATTACTGGCAGACATAATGGTTTGTTCTAAGTTGCTAATCATAATCAAGATCACAAAAAATAACTAACTGCCTTGACTTCCTATATGTATTGTTCATATAACCCTATAAGTTGAATATTATTAATATTCTATTAACATTAGAGAAAATGAAGGCACAGAATCATTCACTTAATCAATGGCAAAGTCTGGCTTCATATCCAGACTAGGTGATGTAGAGCTGAAGTCCCTACCCCTCATTACTTTCTGTAGAACTTATAAGTGTTGCTACTGTCCTATTCTGTATCCAGAGAGAGAAGAGTGTCCTTAACATCAACTTGCTTGACTTAGGGGTCAGGGAGGTGAAGAGGACAAATTTTTAAAATCCTGAAAGATCAGCAGCAAGGTTTTCAAAAAGTTCCTTTTCCCAAAACTGTCTTTATTTCAACAAGATTACATTCTGGTTCAGGGTACAGTAACTTGAACCCATTTGCCAGAGATTGTACTAATCCTAAAATTGCTTGAAATTGTCCTGTCTTTAAAACTAAAAGTTCTAAGTATCTTCCAGTCTCAGGCAAACCAAGAGAGTTGGTCACCCTATTTAATTCAAAATATCTGAGCCTCTCTAGTTTATAAATATTTTCAAATTTTGCTTTCCACATTACTGATAGAAAAGTAAAACCAAGGAATATCTATAATGATAATACCTATTATTTTAGGCACATTACAAACCCACTTATACATTACTTTGTGTGAATATGTTTTAGGAAAGCAATCATCCTATTGCAGTGAATAATAATGCACAACCGGAATTGTCTTTGGACTATAAAGGGGGATGAGTCAGACAATAGAATTTTAATTACACTTTGATAAATTAGACAATAATTCAAGGATCCCTTTTTGCTTTATTGTTTTAACAGAAACTGGAACTTACATTGATTCCCTACTAAGTACAGTGACTCAAGTACCAGCTATTTTATTAATTCCTGTAGAACTAGTTTTATAATTGTGTTTAGTGGATAGATTTGGCCATAAGGAATATATATTTACATGGATATAAGTAAAAATCGAAATAGTTTGGCTGTTTTCAAGGTATAGTATTTCAAATGGTAAGTTCTGCATGGAAAAGAAAAGAAAATAAACCATTAATGATGAAAAACTTACTGCAGAGACTTGGAAACTAATAGAGCACTGTACCATAATTGCTAATGTACTTAGCATTTAATACCGAATTAGTGTCAC